AGGACCAGGAGGATGGATCAACAGGACCAGGAGGATGGATCAACAGGCAGTCAGGGAACAGAGATGAACAACCTGAGGGAACAATTGGAACACAAAAACATACATAAGCAGGACAGAAGAAACTCACAGACAAGAAAATTAACTCAGTCCTGTGAAGAAAAATGTTAATGGAAAATAAATTGACATATTTTTACAAAAGATCAGATGAAGACAACTGGCATGAAGAATAACTTCCAGCTCCATCTCAATGTACCTGTGATAGTTTAATAAGTGTTTTGTTACTGTCCTACAGTTTATTGATGCTGATATATTCTTGTAATAATTCTTATTTCTTGTTCTGTCTTGAAAGAGTCTCATCTCAACTTGACCCATGATTACCAAACACTAAACTAATAATATAAAACTGATGTAAATGAACAGTCCTGCAGTAAATACCAACTTTGTGAAGGTTATGGTGTTAAAGTAATTTTATTCAAACATCTTGATTCAGCTGTTATTGATTAATAGAAGACAGAAAATGAGATCTTGTACCTTTGTGATACTTTGAATGCAACATTCAGTTCATGAAGTCATTCTCCTCTGGTTTACCTGGAAAACATGAAAACATTGACTCATCTCCACAATTACGTTTTTCTTTAATGATAATGTCACAATTTATGCTGCAGTCTTTGACAAATGATCTATAACTTTAACTAAATGACGTCAGTCTTGTTGTCATGTTGTCATCATTCTTTGCTAAATCAGGTCTCTCTTGTAAATGAGTCCTCGAGGCTCAATGAGATTTACCTGTAGAAATAAAGCTTGAATGAATCTCTCAGGAAAAAAAGGCCAAATATTTTCTAGTTGAGTTCAGTAACTGGAATTACCATAAATTTAAAAAAGACCACCTTTCAAAATTTAAGCAGTAATAGATATTTTAAAACGATGAATTAGAAATAGACTCGTTTAAACCGTCATGTTGCAGAGCAGCTGCAGTTAAAACACAACTAGCAATTTAACATGTTTCATTAACTAAAACTGGTGACATGAAGTATTAATGTTGATAAATTGAGGTACAGAACAGTCAGATAACGCTTCACAATGGAGAAAAAGTGTCGTATTTGCATCAACTTACCGGAAAAACACGGAAAATGAACTACGTTCAATACTGAACCCGCTGCTGTTTGGAACTCTTTGCCGCTTCATGACCCACGTGACTTCCGCATTCCATTCTTTCTATGGGAGTCTATGGGAGTGTCGCAACTCTCTCTTTATAGGGCTCTGGTTATTAAATAAACATCCCTACCTCGAGGTTCTCGGTTTCCTGCAGTGACAGCACTGATCTCTGATTGGATCAACCAGACATGCTCTGCTGTGATTGGACGCTTTGTGGAAGAGCCAATCAATATAGCTCTGCGCTCAGTGGGCGTGGTTATGTGGCGAGGCGTGAGCGATGATTGGTTGCAGCTCAGTGTGGACCGCCTTCATGCTGCTGTCCGCTGTCAGTATCCTTTCGGTCGCGGACGGAAGAGCATCTACCCGAGGCCAGCAGTCAGTTTCTCCAGTACCGAGCACCGTCAAACCGCAAGCAGCATGGCTTTGAGCGCAGACCCAAACTTCCAGAAACTGGAGCAGTGGTACCAAGCTCATGGCAGCAGCCTCAACATGAGGGCCATGTTTGACAGCGACCCTGAGCGGTTCGGAAAGTTCAGGTGAGACCAGAGATGCAGAGGAGGAGGAGGGCGTGTAGATCCCAGAGATTTTAGTGCTGGAAGGCCGGGTTCAGAAGGCCTGTTTCCCGACAGTGACTCGGAGAGTTAGGATGATGGTGGCCCGTTAGCAGGTTCTGAGCCATTATTGGTCCTCCACTTCCTCGCCTCCCTGTCAGAGACAAGGTCATTCCAGTTCGGCTCCTTTCCTCCGCTGGCCGCTTGCCAGCTGTACTTTTCCCACCTGGACTGACTGGAACCAGAACCGTCTTATCCTTTGCCCTGACCCGGTTAAACTGGACTGCAGGCCCCGCTGTCACGGACGGGTCTGTCACTGGGCTAACGTTAGCCTGCGTGCTAATGTCACAGCGTCCATTATCGGACAGGCATGGCTTCTGGCTCCTCCGAGACCTTCTGGGTTTAATGAAAGTTCGGATGTTTTGGTCCCCGTCATGTGGGACCAAAGAACACCCGGTCAGAACCTCAGACTGGGTCTCAAGAGTCAAAACTCCATCAGTACCCAGCTTCATGTCGCCCACCTGTTTTCTGTTCAGAACCAACCTGAAGCTAGCTTCTGTTTTGATGCTGCAGATCAGAACCACACCAGGTCAGGTTCAGAACCCACCTGAGACCAGATCAGATCTGGATCAGAAGACAGACGCTTTTCATCTTCTATGGAACATAATTCCGAACCGTGTCCGGTTCTGATCTGGTGTGCAACATATTTTAAAGTGACGTGTGGAGGTCCGGTTCTGATGGGTCGTCACGTGGAGACTGCAGACGTGACTGAGCCCCGAGCGATGATGAAGGACGGCAGCGCGGTTCGGTTCGGGTTCCCCCCCAGAAATGAGTCATGTTTTCAGTTTCTGTGTTCTGCTCCTGATAAACAAAAGTGTGGAGGTGAGGCTCGGTTCTGAAAAACGGGTTTTGATCAGAAGACCAGTTCCGACCCGGCACTCTGAGCTCCACCGTTAAAACCCAGAATGATAAATGGGACTGAGAGTTTCTGGAGCTTCAGAACCTTCTTACCGGGTTTGATGAACATGTTTTCAGACAAATCATCTTTAATCTGATCAGATTATCTTTAATCTTAAACTTTCTGACTAGTGTTTTTTTTTGTTTCATTTTGAGTTTGTCACTCAGAATTGTTACGAATAAAGTTTTTATTTTTTTTATTCTGGTTGTCCACAGCACCACTCTGAAGACAGAGGATGGTGAAGTTCTGCTGGACTACTCCAAGAACCGGATCAACCAGGATGTCATGAAGATGCTGCTGGCCTTGGTGAGAGCACCCTGACAGAGGCTGGACCAGAACTTTAGACCCGACAGACGATTGGACCTTAATCTAAAACCCGTCAGATGAGATAAGACTTTCAAGCAGTTTTACAACAGACGAGACTTGAGTCCAAGAACCTCCTGTGCAGGTCCAAACTAAAACCAGCTGGAACACGTTTGTTCTGGAAAGCCCGGCCCAAAGTAAAAAAAAAAAAAAAAAGTCAAATGAAAAGTGTTTTTATTAGAGCAAGGTCAGAGATTAATCAGAGATTAAACTGAGTTGATATGAGTTTGGACCTGCAGGGGACCGTCTGGACCGTGTTCTATCAGTTTGGACCTGCAGGGGACCGTCTGGACCGTGTTCTATCAGTCCTGAGGACCGGCTCCACAAACTGTTGCTCCAGACTTCAGGAAGTTACAACACTTTTATTTTGAAAGAGTAAACACAGGAGTTGAGCCACAGATTCTGAAACGTGAGGAAAGTTCTGCGAACGAGAAATCGGGTTTCATCACCTGGTTCTGCTGGTCGTCGGTTCTGGTTTTAGTCCGAGGATCTTCAGAGAAAAGTCGTTCAGACTGAAAGTCAACTTTAAAACATTCAAAACTTTATTAAATTTAACTTTATTTTATTAAACGTCGTCTCTTTGAAATCTCAAACTTTAATAGTTTTTTTTATTAACTACCTGGTTTTATAGATGCACACCTGAACATGGGGGCGTGGTTCTGGGATTAGTTCTAGATATGATACAGAAACCTGTCACTGAAGGTTCTGGTTCTGGTCCAGGTATGTTCTGAGCTCCTTTGTTTCTGTGTTCAGGCCAAGTCGAGGGGAGTGGAGCAGGCCCGGGAGAAGATGTTCACCGGAGAGAAGATCAACTTCACCGAGGTGCTGAGCTGCAGTCACTGCAGGGTTCACCTGGACCCACCTGGGCCCGACTGAGTTCACCTGGACTCGCATGGACCCGACTGAGTTTACCTGGACTCACTTGAGTTCACCTGGACTCACCTGGGCCCGACTGAGTTCACTTGGACTCACCTGTTTGTTTCCCAAACAGTCGGCCTGTTATTGTCTTCATCAGGCGGTTCACCTGTGGTTCACCTGTTCAGTGTTTACCTGTGGACTTGGTGTGTGCACTGGCCTGTTCTCTACCTCACCTGTTGTGTTCCTGCTTCCAGAACCGGGCCGTGCTCCACATCGCCCTGCGGAACCGCTCCAACACGCCGATCCTCGTTGACGGTAAAGACGTGATGCCCGAGGTCAACCGCGTGCTGGACAAGATGAAGGCCTTCTGCCAGGTGTGTGTTCTTGGCTCTTGGTACCTTCAGAGAACCTTTCCTGGTAGAGTCACCTGCCGTGTCAGAACCGGTGGTCCTCATGGGGATCGAGGCCCGGTCCAGATTCATCCATTGAAAAGAGATTCATTGCAGTCTGTGTTTACAGAGAGTTCGCAGCGGCGATTGGAAAGGCTTCAGTGGAAAGAGCATCACAGACGTGGTGAACATCGGCATCGGAGGCTCCGACCTGGTGAGCGTTCACCCACACACGCCCGAGTCCTGGTTCTGGTTCAGGTCCGGTTTTACAAAGAGCTGGCTGCTGATCTGAAATCGTCACAGTGACGACACATTTCTACTTAAATTAAACTGAGCTGTCATGTGACTGTGTGTGTCTCGTGGTGCGTTCAGGGACCGCTGATGGTGACCGAGGCCCTGAAGCCATACTCAGCCGACGGTCCAAATGTCTGGTTCGTCTCCAACATCGACGGGACTCACCTGGCCAAGACGCTGGCCCGGCTCAACCCAGAGACCACGCTGTTCATCATCGCCTCAAAGGTTCCTACGCACACACAAACCGTCAAGCTCTGTTAGGCTCCGCCTCCTGTGTTCTGTTGTAGTAAACAAATTTTGACCGGTTCTGAGATTTTCTGCAGTTTGTGGTTTTATTTCCTGTCTCTGGTTTCATGGTTCAGTTTTTCAGGAACTTGGATTCTTGGTAAAATGATTAATTATTTCAGATTTGGAGCAGATGTACAGTCGTGTTTCTTTCTTATTGTCAGATTTTTAATCCTTTAAACGTCGAGTCCTACGACTCGAGCTACGAGTCCTGTAGCTTTGTTCTACGAGATTTAAACTGGAACCTTAAGATGAGATCTCATTAAAAACCGTCTCAGGACTTTGGAGAAATTATCCCTGAAGGTGTCTCCCATGGCTTTAACATTTAAACATGTCAGGCACTAGGACCACGCAGCACGTCCATGAGTAGCTTCCTCTGCTGCTACATACTGACAGGAAGAGTGTTGCACATTTATTAAAAACAACAGACTTAAAGGTGGTAGTTCATGGACTTTGAAGCTGACAGGGCATGGTCTAAGCCTCTCGTTAATCTGAGATGAAGCGAGTCGGTCAAACTTAAAGATGGAGGTGAAAAAAATCATCCCGTAGCGTTTATCTGGACCCTGTCTGCTCCGAGCAGCTGTTTAATCCTTTAAATGCATCAGCGAGGGATAAAACTAGAGAAATTGCATTTCCTGCAAAAATCCATTGTGAATGCTTATTGCTGAAGAACTTTGCTGAATTAGCTACAAAACATGCTGAAATGTAGCTGAAATGGAACAGCAAGACTAAGTTAGCAGAAGAAAGCAGCTAGAAGACATATTTGCTGAATTAGGTTTAAATAATAAGAAATGAGCTAAAAAATTAGGAAATTAGCTAAAAAAGGTTAAAATTAGAAAAAAAACAGCTGAAAAGTATCTGAAAAGGCAGAAAGAGCTGAAACGAGCTAAAAATGTGAAATTAGATGAAAAAGCTAAAATTGGCATAAAAATGCTATAGGAGATGAAAGAGCGGCAAAAGCTGAACTTAGCATAAAGAAGTTAATTAGGCTTAACGTAGCAAAAATTACCATGAAAAACTTTATAACTTATCTGAAAACGACTGAAATTAGCGTTAAAATGAAGCTAAAAAGGTAGCTGAAATTTACATAAATAAGCTGAAAGGAGCATGACATGCAGAAATAAGTTGGAAGAAGCACAAAATCTTCTAGTTAGTAGAAATAACTTGAAAAGGATCACAAAACAGCTGAAAGTAGCTGAAAAAAGTTTAAATTTGCACAAGGAAGCTGAAAGAAGCAAATGTGGAAGGAGCAGTAAAAAGTTGTAAACAGATTTAAATATTTGAAGGATGTAAAATGAGCTCGATTAAATTTCTAAAGAAGAAAAAGAGAAAACATTTTGAGAAAGAAAGTGGCAGGAAAGGCTAAATATTTCAACAAGCTAAAGTTGCACCACTACAAAATGTCACAGCAGGATTGTCCTGAAAGAGCTGAACGTTTTGATTTATGATTTGTTGAAATAGCACAAAAATTTTGGAACGAGAAAGATGCTGAAAAATGGATCACAATAGTGTGAATGCTTCATAAACATTCACACTATTAACACAAGGAGTTTCACTCTAATGTCCTTAAACTCCTCTGTAGTTCCCAGTGTGCCTGGATTTAATTTAACCAAATTTAGAGTTTTCTGTTGTAATTTTAAGGTGAAATGTTAGCATCTGCTTTTTTGAGTTTTTTTATTTTCAGGAACGTGTCGTCATAAAAGGTTGGCTCTTGACCGGGTTTTAAAATTTTGTTACAATGAGTTGATGCTTTCTGAGGTCTGGTCTCATCAGAGAGCAGACGGGAGCGAGGACGGTCGTTTTTATGAGAGATGCTCAAATGTTGTCGTTTCAGCCTAAATGTCTCATTTTCTGCAGGAAACATGAATCTGACCCGTCTGGACCTCAAAGCCTCCGTTTTTTAATAAGCAGCTGACTTCTTCAGTTTTTGTTTTTTAAAATCCTCTTCATCTTGTTTTGTTTTTGTCAAGTTCAGAGTCAGAATGCAGCTGTTCTGTTCCCGAGTGTTGAAGAGCAGAATCTGTGTCTGAATGTAGCAGGAAGCACCTCAGGTGTGTCGGGTCACCTGCAGTCCCTCCAGGCGTCTGAGACCACCTGTCGCGTGTCTCGACTGATCTTTTTGTGTGCTTGGACTCATTTCAGACGTTCACCACTCAGGAGACGATCACCAACGCTGAGTCGGCCAAAGACTGGTTCCTGCAGACGGCCGGTGACGTGAGTCCGTTTACCCAGACCAAACGTGGGACGCCTGAAGGTCTTTAAAAGATGATAAATGTGTCTTCTGATCCTCCACAGAAATCTGCTGTGGCCAAACACTTTGTGGCTCTTTCCACCAACGCAGTGAGTATCAACCACGCTGTTCCATGGTTCTGATCGGACTTTTCAAACCGGACCGAGGGTTTCTGGTTGTGCTGCTGTTCCTGCTTCCTGCCTAACGTCTTCGTGTCCCGTCTCCAGGTCAAAGTGGAGGACTTCGGCATCGACACGGCCAACATGTTTGAGTTCTGGGACGTAAGTGTTTGGACTCTTTCATTAAATGAGATCAGGTCGTTTCCTGATCCAGATGTTTTCACACCAATTTCTCTCACGTTTATTTTGAATTAGAAATAAAATAAATTAGCTTCATTTAAATTATTTTGACTCTATGATTGTTGTTTTTTTTTTTTTTTTTTTTTTGTCCCAGTTTAGTTGCCGTACTTCACTTGCTGAGCTCTAATCTAACCCGCTGCCTGAATCCTGCTGCATCTTGATGCTTTTATTTTGACAAACCGCTGTGCTCTGATTGGTGGAATGACTGTGTGATGTCACGTTTGCTTGTCCTCAGTGGGTCGGAGGTCGTTACTCACTGTGGTCTGCCATCGGTCTGTCCATCGCTCTGCATGTAGGTACGTCACCTTCACCCGGACCAGGCTGAGGGGGTGCAGCTGACCAGGACTCGGTCTCTGGGGGGTTTTGAATCTCCAAGGAGTTTTATATCTGAGGACTCAGACTCCCAGGAGCTGGCCTTCGAGGGGTTTTTCAAAGGATTCAAGTGCTCCAAGTGGTTCAAACTGAGGAATTATTAATATTATTATTGGCAGCATGACGGCTCAGTGGTTAGCACTGTTGCCTCACAGCAAGAAGGTCCTGGGTTCAATCCCCAGTTGGACCTGGGGTCTTTCTGTGTGGAGTTTGCATGTTCTTCTAGTGCTTGTGTGGGTTTTCTCCAGGTACTCCAGTTTCCTCCCACAGACCAAATACATGCATGTTGGGCTGCCTTCTGGCCCAGGCCTCCCTTGCAAAAGAGATCTGTGATCTCAATGGAATGTGCCTGGTTAAATAAAGGTTAATAAATAAATAAATTATTATTATTATTTTGATTGGACGCCCAGGGACCGACTCGATGGTTTTTTCCTTTTTGGGTTCAGCCTCCAAGGAGTCTGTCTTCAAGGACTCCAACCTGGGGGGGGTTCTTCCTCAGAGGGTTGGATCAGCGCCACCTGTTGCCTAACGATATAAACCTAAGTCCATTTTCAGACCTGAGATCCAGAACCAGAACGTTGGCGTGAGTGGGGTCTGACCCGGGGAGTCTCAGACCTAATGACGATTCGTCCAGGTTCTGTTCGATCAATAATCCATCGGGTCTGAAACGGGCTCAGACTACAAGATCGTTCAGCATCAGAACCAGCTGTTATGAAACCTGTTTCTGTGCTGGTGTGACCTTTGACCTCTGATATTCTTCAGTTTGTGTCTTGTTTGTTTTTAATGAGTCCAGTTCCGTTTGGCTTCACGTGAACAGAACCGAACCTCTTGTCTGTTTGGGTTTCAGGCTTCGAGAACTTCGAGAAGCTTCTGGCTGGAGCTCACTGGATGGTAGGAGAACCTTTCTGACTTCAGCACGGAACCAGAGGTTCTGAGCTCAGATTCAAACTGGAGACTGTTTTTAGTTTTTTATTTGTAAAGTTTTGGTTCTGATGGTTCTGCTTACTCTGTTTGTGTCTCGTCTCCAGGACAACCATTTCCGCAGCGCCCCTCTGGATCAGAACGCACCGGTTCTGCTGGCTCTTTTGGGCGTCTGGTACGTCAACTTCTTCCAAGCAGAGACTCACGCCATGCTGCCGTATGACCAGTACATGCACCGCTTCGCCGCCTACTTCCAGCAGGTGGGTCCAGAACGTCGGCCCGTTTGGACCTTCAACTGTTTTACGGATCTCACATTGTTCAGTTCTTCTCTGAATGATTTCTGCAGAGGCAGAAATACTGAAGTGCTTCTGGTTAAAAATGTTCCTCAACTCAAAGAAGGAACCAGTGAGGTCGAGATGGACCTCTGACCCCAGAACCTTCACCGGTCTGTTTGGTTTCCAGGGCGACATGGAGTCCAACGGGAAGTACATCACCAAAGACGGCAGCCGGGTCAACTACCACACGGGACCGATCGTGTGGGGCGAGCCGGGGACCAACGGGCAGCACGCCTTCTACCAGCTCATCCACCAAGGTGACGCCGCTGGTTCTGATCCATTTCTAGGTTGGTTCTGACACTCATCACCGGTTTGTTTCCTCGTCAGGCACTCGCATGATTCCTGCTGACTTCCTGATTCCTGCTCAGTCCCAACATCCAATCAGAGACAACCTGCACCACAAGGTAACGCCCCCTGTGGGTCGGACACGTTTCATTTCACTGTAAATTCCTGTTAATCTCAGTTTATTTTGTGTGACTTAGCTGTTGTTTTTAAAGTTTTTATTTATTTTGTAGTAAAAATCAGTTAATCTGAGGATTTATAACTGTAAACATGTTTGTCTGAGATATTCCAGTTTAGTGTTTTTGTCACCAGCAGCTCTCAGCGCATCACTGGGTGTGTAAACTGATGCCTCCAGATGTTGACTTGCTGATGTTTCGCAGATCCTCGTGGCCAACTTTCTGGCTCAGACTGAAGCGCTAATGAAGGGAAAAACTTCTGAAGAGGCTCGTAAGGAGCTGGAGGCTGCCGGCATGACGGGAGACGCCCTGAAGAAGCTGCTGCCGCACAAAGTAACACACACTCAAACACACACACACACACAGCTGTGGCGGGCTGTTGATGTTCAGATTAATAATCCAACTTTTTACTGATTCACTTCAAAGGTTTTCGAAGGGAACAAGCCGAGCAACTCTATCGTTTTCAGGAAGCTGACTCCGTTCATCCTGGGGGCTCTGATTGGTGAGTTCTGGGCTCTGCGGTTTATGCGTCCTGTTGGGTTCTGACCTCAGGATGTCGGGTTCTGTGGAACGTTCCGACTTCAGTACGTTGTCTGACTTTGTACCTTTTTATTCCCGAGGTAAATAATTTGTTCAAAATATTGATCGGTTGATCAGGAGAATTAAATTGATTGAGAAGTAGGTGAGGTCTGCAGCTTTTAATCTGAAGGGATGAGTCACATGACGCGTCCTGTTTTTCAGCCATGTATGAGCACAAGATCTTCGTCCAGGGCGTCATGTGGAACATCAACAGCTACGACCAGTGGGGGTGAGTGAACGCGCAGCACTTCCTGTCGGAATGAACCGTCGTCTTGGATCACATGTTAAACTCTGTTGTTCTGTCTGAAACTGAGTCTGGTTCCATTTTTTTATTCCTAGTCTGTCTACTCTAAATGTTATGTAGGAGAGCTAAACCCAAACTTTAATCTTCTGTTCTGAGCAGGGCCTTTATTTAGAAAGATCTGCATTTCACTATAATAAACTGATCCAAATGAATCGAACAGAATCACGACCGATGACCCTTCAGAACATAATTTAACTCCACTCATTTCTTTGGAGGCGGGTCTTGTCTTGGCTACACCCCTGAACTTAACTTTGAACGTTTACACCTGCAGTCAACAGCTGACGGTTTGACGCTTGTGATGTCATCATGACGATTTTGCCTCCGCTTCCTCAGGGTGGAGCTCGGGAAGCAGCTGGCCAAGAAGATCGAGCCAGAACTGAAGGACGACTCTGAGGTCTCCTCTCACGACTCGTCCACCAACGGCCTCATCAACTTCCTGAAGAAGAACTTTGCCTAAGCTCCGCCTCCTTCATCTATCCACACTGGCTGAAACATGTTCTGTGTGAGCGGACACTTCCTGTCCCGACTGTAATAACGAGTTCTTCATGTTGCTTTTTTAGTGTCGATCTGTGTGTGCACGTTACTGTATGTGACCCCCGCCCCCTTACACATAGCTGTGGCTTTCAAAATAAAAGTCCTTCCTGTCAGTGATGCTGGCTGTTTTATTTAACAAACACGAATTGCTTCATTAAACCAATTGTGTTTGTAATGTTAATAAATGTGACAAACATTGAATCGGAATCCTTATGTAGCTACACTCCATTTACAGCCCGGGTGACAATACGGCTAGCCGGGTCGGAGTGATTTGTGCCCCATTTCAAGCTGAACGAGCTGAATCCCATGAATGCATTTGAAAAAAGTGAATTAGTTGAATAAGAAATTGCACCTTGTTCTGTTGCTGTTAATGACATGAACTTGGGTGGGTCTGGTCGTTCCTGGTTTAAGAATGCTCCTCCCATCAGCAAACTTCACATGGTTACCTCAGAACCAGGACTAACTCCTGTAACCAGACTCTTCTGTGAAAATTTTCCAAAATTCATTAAAATCAAATCCACTTGAAGAATTTAGATATTTTCAAACCTCCATATTTAAGTGGGCATCAACACACCTGACCAGGTGAATTCTGAAGGAAGTCTTTAAAAGTCGACACTAGGACACCTGAGGGTTTTAGACTCGGATCACACGTAATCCTTTATTTAAAAAAGGTAAAGTGTCAGGGTCAGAACATCAGAGTTCTATTTTCAGTTCAGTGATGAAAATCACAAATCGATGCAAAAAAACGTCTCGTGTTTCAGAGATCTGAAGAGTTGCAGTGTCAACACCAGAACTTCACACAGTCAGAACTATCACGAAGAACCCGTCTATAGTTCTGCTACATACTGTCTTACTGTTGATCCACTGAAAAGGAAATTCAACCACCAACTTCCTGTCACTCAGTTCTCCAGTCTGACCTGTTCTCAGTCAGGTCCGGTTCTTCCATCTCTGATGGTCTTGGTCCACAGCTAGTTAGCTTAGTACAAAGACTGGAAACTGTTAACCTCCTGAACAGTAGCAGCAGAAGGTCCAGTAATAAAATAAAATACACGACTGTAAACTTTACATGTTGATCACATCTGTGTAAAGCTCAGTTTGGATCAGTTCCGGTTCAGTCCAGTGCAGGTTTCAAAAACCCTCGTTTATTCGTCGTTTCCACAACGTTCTGGTTGACGTCATCCTCATCCAGCGCCGCTCGCTCCCGCTTTTTAGCAAACTTCTTCTTCATGGATTCCACTAAAGCCTCGTACCTGAAAAACAAAGCAAACCTGAGCTCCAAGAAGCTGACCTGTCCTAATTCTGGTTCCGGGGCCTTAAAGGTCTAATAAAAAGAATATCTGGAACATCTGCAGGAGAAGGTTCTCAGGATGGAGTCATCACCAGAACAACTAGAACCTTTTCACATCAAACTACTGTAGAAATGGGGTTTTACCTCAGAGCCATTTCTTCATCTGTAACATCCGTCTGCATGCGGCTCACGTCCTCCTCTTCCTCGTCTTCCTCTTTAGGGTTCATCAGAATCATCAGTTTCTGTGGAAAAACATGAACAGCTTGGGATTAAATTTGTGACAATGTTTTGAGGACATCCAACCGGGAGGAGCAGAAAGTTCAGATTGAAGTCTTCGTTAATCAAAAGAAGTGACCGACCTCCACTTCTGGGTTAAATCCTTTGAAGGACAGGCGGCCGAAGAGCAGCTCCTCACACGGCGCAAAGCTCTTCTCCTCTATGATCAGGTTCCTGAAATCAATAACATCCAGATCATCCCAATCCCTCTCAGACTGGTCTTTATTGGATTAAAATGTCTGATGTTCTGAGACGTACTCCTTAGCGTTGAGTTCTGGCAGGTCCAGGTACCAGTGTTCATCACTGATGATCCTCTTCTCCTCTTCCTCCAGCTGCTTCTTCGTCTCAGCGTCCAGCCCCCTCTGCATGAACTGCAACAGAGAAAAGATTTTAACACTCTTTTCACATTTCAGACAGAAAAGATTCGTACTCCACAAGACTTCATAATTCACACAAATACGTCTTTAATTTATCAGTAATTTAAACCAAATAAGTATTCCAAATAAGTCCCTCATGTCTTTATATTTTCCTTCCAAGCAGCCAAATTTACTAGATTTAATTTGTACTACAACTGTTGAATTCAGATGATCATTTCAGGTTTTTAGGGTAATTTTAAAATCATGACAGAATCGGTTTTGACTCTAGGATTCACTCCGAATAAATCCTCGGTTCCATCGTGAAATAAAAATACCCAAGTTAACATCTGAACTGGATTTAAAGAACTTCTTAATGGCCTGAAACGTTAAATGGTGAATTTTCTGAACGACATTCGGCGAAGCTAACTTTGCTAACGCTTACCTTCATCCGCAGCAGATTTTTAGACAGCTTTACATTATTTCCCGCCATTATTAACCGGGTAATACAGCTAAAAAAAAACTAAGCCTTAAAAACCAACTTTAATAATAATAAACAGTTAATTTTGGATGCTAAACTACCGGCCCTAGCTACGGAGGAACGTGCAGCTAACAGGCTGAACCAATCGAGCGTCGAGCTGCTACATCGATCATAGCGCAATCGAAAAAGAGCGGCTGAATCCTTCTTCCATTTGAAATGTTACTGCCACCAACTGGTGTGGAGTGTTGATCAATCAATCGTTTAGTTAATAAATCAGCTGAATGTGCTGTTTTTATTTGTTTTAGTATTTTAGTGTTGGTTCATAGTCGGAGCCATTGTGAACTTCTTGGACTTTTGGTGTGGAAAAGGACAGAACTTCTGCTGATCTGGAATCAGCAGTTGTAGTACTTTAATCCTTCTGGACTCTGAACTCCTTTGAATTATTGGATTTTTTATTTTTTTATGGAAGTTATCTTTGAACTATATTTTGTAATAAGCAGCATGACTTTTTAACTATTTGGATGTTTTCAGTCAAATAAAATCAGAAAAGAAATAAAATACTATAGGCCACATCTTCTCACCATCAGTGTTAACATTGTTAAAACCCGTGAGTCAGAATCAGAACTTTAATCAGTTTGTTTTATCCTGATTCTAGTTCATCCAGCTTTTTTTAAACTTTGTTAAGAAGTGTTCCACTCAGGTTCTGATCAGGTAAATATGGCAGAAATTCTGGGAAAACTCGATAATCGCAAACATGTTTGACATAAAACAAAACATTTTTTAGTCAAACAGTTAATTTATGGAGAATAAAGAGACTCTGAATCTGCTAACTTTTAAAGAAGAGTAATTTTAAAAATGTCAAACTGAAAAGAAAGAAAAAAAATCTTAAATTGACAAAAAAAAAATTGCTTCAATTTCTTGTTTCTGGTCCAGCAGGTGGCGATAAAGCACCTGAGTGCCAGTTTGACAACTGCAATAAAAACAACAGAAAAAGAGAAAAAAGGACTAACGTTTTAAACTTTTCATGTGTAAATCTTTTATCGTTTGTTACATTTTTTTAATTATTTATATTTACTTATTTATTTATTTACAGTTATATACTTTTTCAAAGTTACAGCTGAAGTTTGGGGTTCCTGTCATGTGACCAATTGTCTCTGGCTCTTGATGTCCAGCCTTGAACCGCTGCTTCAAATGTTCCTGTTGCAAGATTCATGTGAAACAGATCCTCTGCAGGTGAGTCTTGGCTCCTCCTCCTCAGGTGAACTGGTGGATCACCACCTCTTTAAGCGAGCGGAAGGACACCTCCCCCCTCTCGGTGTCTCTGAGGCCTGTCAGCTCGTCCTGCAGCTGGACTACGGGTCGTCTCAGCTGGTATCCCAGATCCACCAGCATCTCCAGCAGCGACGCTCTGTGGCTCTTTGGCCCGTAGCGTCTCGCCGCAGGCAGAGCTCTGTGAGCGGCGGCAAAGGCCTGCTCCGGCTCATCCAGGTCACGGTAACACACAGCGAGGGCGGACAGGGTTGGGAGAGTCAGGGTGGACTTCTGCCAGGGTAACAGCTTCTCCTGAATCTCCAGAACCGTCTGCAGGAGCTCCAGAGCTGCTGTGAACTGGCCGGCTCGTAGCAACATGTGGGCCTGCTTCTGCTCGTGCTCAGTGAAGAATGCTGGGAAATGAGGGGAGTGTCGGACGCAGCGAGCAGCGAACATCTTGGCCAGGTAGTCCTGCAGGGCCAGGCGGCGCTTGGAGATGTTCTCAGGGCTGAAGTTCCCCGCCAGGAGCTTCGGGGGCAGAGGCACGTCCTCCAGCTCCTCCTCGAACTCCTGCAGCAGTTTGTGGTGAAAACAGAAGAAGTCGCTGTAGCGGCGCTCCACGGAAACACGGTGAGAATCGAAGCTGCCTGAGCGCATCACCACGATCTTATACACCTGGAGACAAGAACCGCATGAACAACTTCATCATGACGCAGGCACTCAGCTTCTAACCATATCATCAAATCAGCTGATTCAGGTCAGCTTCCTGTCTTAACTGTGAGACCTTGATCTGATATTTGAGGTCAACTCAGGGCATCCTTACTTCAAAGAACGTTAGTTTGCCAATAGTTCATCTGAGTTCTGGACTTTCAGGTGATCTGGGCCTCTGGCTGTGAATACAGTGGCATCTCCGCTTCTGTGTCAGAGTCTTACCACGTGTTTGCTGAGAGGCTGCTGGACGACCCGGCTCGATGGGATTTCAAACAGAACCCGAACGGGTCGGTGACACTGCTTCAGCTTCCTCAGGTTCTGCTGCAGCTCCTTCGTGGTCAAACTGGAACCGATGAGAAGTTCATCTGATGACAAACACAGAAATCTGAGAATGAAATGTCAACCAACCAACTAACCCTAACCCAACTAACCAACCAATCAACCAACCAGTCAGTCAACCAGTCAATCAATCAACCAACCAACTAGTCAATCGATCAACTAACCAGACAACCAGACAATCAACCAACCACCTAACCCAACCAACCAGTCAATCAACTAATCAATCATCCAACCACCTAACCCTAACCCAATCAACCAGCCAATCAACCAACCAACTAACCAACCAACCAATCAACTAACCAACCAGTCAATCATCCAACCACCTAACCCAACCAACCAGTCAATCAACCAACCAACTAGTCAGTCGATCAACTAACAAGCTAACCAGACAACCAGTCGATCAACCAACCAGTCAGACAATTAAGTAGCCAATCATTCACTCAGTAAAACAACCAAATAGTTAGTTGGTCAGTCAACCAACCAGTCAACCAATCCGATAAAACATCTGTTGTGCAAATAAAAAAGTGAGAACCTGCAGCTGCTGAAAACATTAGATTATGTGGTTTTTTTTTAGAGCTAAACTGATCATCTAACTGGAAACAAACCCATTCCAGGTAAAAGTTCTGGTTCTGGATTTGAGTCCAACCACAAGGTCAGATCTTTTCGTCATAAACACGTTTTATTTTCAGAGATTCTGATTCACCAACATGAATTTATCAATTCACCCTCCAGAAAACAGAACCCGGGTTCTGCTGCAGCTGTCTGAGATGGTTCCTGAAGTTTGGACCTGCTCTCAGAGACTTTGTGCAGCTTCATGTCAGATGAAGTGTTCCTTTAAAAGCATCTGAAACACCAAACAGGACAAAAACAACAGAACCTGCAGTTTGTGGGTCCGTCTCATCTGGGTCTTCAGGGCCCAGTTTTGCTTCTGCCATCAGGTCTTCACAGCTGATCCCCCCAACTAGAGAAAAACTGATCTCAGATCTGCTGTATCATCACAGAGGAACGAACGAAGTTTGTTTGGTTCTGGAAACACGAACACTGAGCTCGGTATGTTCTGTCAGCCAGCAGAGGAAGTTCCTCTCCTTTAAGGTTTAAGAGGAAATGAAACAAAGTGTAGACATAGAGTGCAGAACTGTAAACTGACTGAGGAGCGCTTGGTTTATAACAGCAGCCACAGCCGGCGGGTGGAGTCTGTCAGAATGAAGGATCACTTTATTCTTCTAACTGAACGGAGTGGAGGAGCAGCTGGCAGACAATCTTCCCCAAACCCAGATACATGTTCATCTAAACCTTTATTTTCTGTTAAAGGACAGTTTATAAAAACACAGTTCTGCGTTTTAAATAAAACTATCAGTGAATATCTGAGACCTGACACTTATTCAGTAATATTTTACTAATTCAAACATATTTGAAAAACTTTTTAATTCAGCTTGTTTTTGCAGCTGTCGCCCCCTGCTGGTTGTTGGAAAGAGTGTCGTTCTTTGACATTGGCTTTGCTTCTCAGACTCGACGGCCTACAGATCTTCAGTTCTGAGTCTTTAAAGCCGGGATCTCACTGGGCTGTGACAAACAGCAAACAGCACTCATTAGGGAGTTTCTGAAATATTCTGAAGGGTTCTCAAGTGAGTCGCAGGACCCCATTCTCAAAATTGTTCCTCTCAAAACAGACGGGGAGTCATCGTGAGCACCTTGAACCCTCCTGAGAGAAATGTGAGACAAATTTGTGAGAGGTTGTAGACCTGTGAAACTAATCTGTGACCTATTGGAGAGAACGCTGAGAACCAAACAGTATGGGTACAAGGGATGAGTGGGACAACTCTGAGCCAAACAAGGCACAGAACCTCAGAGTGTCTGAAGTTTTCAATCAGACTGAAGGATACTGTTTACCACAGAGTTGCAGTGTCACAGAATGAGTGCCTACCGGTGACAATGTGATGATGGCACACCTTCACAAAATGTCTAAGGACGCCACCTCTTCCATCTCTTCTGGGAGGACTCTAAGGTGTTCCCAGACTAACTGAGGGAGTCTCTCCCAGGTGTCCTGGGTCTTCCTCAGGGTCTTCTCCCAGTTGAGCATATCCAGATCTCTGATACCACTCTCTGCTGAAAGCCAGGGATGCTGTCTTCAGGTCTGGCAACTCACAGGAACTCAGGAGGGCTAGAAGAGAGCTGGCTGCAGGTATGAAGAGGGCCAAAGCCACATACAGTATGTACAGAAGATCCAGGGATATTTCTCCTCCCAGGATCCACAGAGCATGCGGAAGGGCATTAAGTGCATCACAGACACAACATGAGAGGTGCACAATGGCCTAGGGACCCATCACTGCCTGATGCTCTCAGCAGTTTTTATGCCCGCTTTGAAATAGTTCTAAACAGACCACCCAGCACCAGACTCACCTCGCCATCTAGAGCAAAATCCCTCAGTGTGACCCTAGCAGACTGTAGCAGAAGGACTCCTACGTCTGTATGCTCTTTGTGGACTTCACATCTGCCTGCAACACCATGATTCCCCAGACCCTGATGAACAAACTACTCATACTAGGACTGAGCCCGTTCCTATGCAACTGGGTCCTGGATTTCATGACCACCAGGCTGCAGTCTGTGAGGATCTACAACTTCTCCTCCTCCATTACATAATCCACAGCACTGGCTCCCCTCAGGGTTGTGTGTTGAGCTCCCACCTGTTTACTCTGCTCACATTAATTCAACCTTTATTTAGACAGGTTAATCCCATCGAGCCTTGGGGACTCATTTACAAGCGAGACCTGATTTCTTAACAAAGAGTGATGACAACAGTAAATAACAACGACAATAATAGACAGTCACAAAAGAGGCATGCAATTTAAAAAAACAAATCTAAACAAAATAGCAACGAAAAAGGATGGTCAAAAGGAAAAGTAGCAAAAAGAAGAAAATAAACGCTAGATTATGACGCGGTGTAGAAAACTAAAAACAGGAACATGTCTGCGATGGCTTTTGCCAGGAACTTAATAGATACTTAAAGCCACATTAGAGAGGTCAAGGTCGAGAGCTTCAGATCTTTTTGCAAGATATTCCAGGAAACAGGAGCAAAGTAGGAGAAGGCCTTTTGCCTAGGTCAGTCCCACTGAGGGAACACTGCATGTAATTATGTCCTGGGAGCGCACGCTGTAGCTGCACTCACGCAGAGACATGTAGGAGGAGATGTATGAAGGCAGCAGACCAAGAAGTGATTTAAAGGTGAAAATGTACCAGTGGGAGAGTCTGCATGAAGTTAATGATGTCCAGTTAACCAGTGAATACAGGGTGTAGTGGTGGGTACGGTAAGTACAGCCAGTTATGAATCTTAATGCACCGTGATATATGACATATGTGACATATGACTGTGCAGCTACCCATCCAGACTGTCATATTGTAAAGTTTGCAGACAATACACCTATGGTTGGATGCATCACAAACAGTGATGAGTCTGGCTACAGGCAGGAGGTGGAACACCTGGAGAGAGTTAGTGCAGGAAAAACAACCTTCACATCAATGGGAAGAGGACAAAGGAGATGATTGTGGATTTCAGAAGGGGCAGACACACCCATCCCCCTTTGGACAAAGGAGGATCTGCGATGGAAGTGGTCTCCAGCTACAAGTACTTGGGTGTGAACCTGAATGACATTATCAGCTGGGGCAACAACACTACCAGCCTGATCAAGAAAGCTGGTGGCTGAGGTGAGCTGGTCTGGGAAGCTCAGTCCTCACCTCCTTCTACAGGTGTGCAGTGGAGAGCATCCTGTGCTCCAGCATCAACGTGTGGCATGGAGGCTGCACAGCTGCAGAAAGAAAAGCTTTGCAGAGAGTGGTGAAGGCTGCACAGAAGAATGTTGGCGTCAGCCTCCCCACCATCACAGACATCTTCACCTCCAGATGCAGGAAGAGGGCCACCTGCATCATGAAGGACCCCACTCACCCAGCACACACACTTTTTGCCCTGCTCCCCTCAGGCAGGAGGTTGAGGAGCATTAAGGTTAGAACGATTAGACTGAGGAACAGCTTCTACCCTGAGACTGTTAGACTCATGAATCTCTAACCAGAATAATCACTGTGAAAAATCACATCATGTTGCTGCTGATCTGTTTCATGTTGCTGCTGATCTGTCCGGCACAGAGTTCGTAATACTGCATACGCTGCGCTGATCCGTCTCAATTCTTCCCTCACAGTGAACAAACTCTGAGATACTTGATGTTCTCCACCTGAGGCAGAATCTCACTTCTAACACTGTCTGTGTTCAAATTCTAAATAATTTGTGTACCTAGCAATGCAGCAGGAGGTGGTGAGGTCCTCATTATTTGTTGTCTGATTACAAAATGCTTGTTGAATCTGGGAAAAGACATTTATTTATGTATTCAGTATTTATTAATCACACCATTGTTGCATAACTTTCCATGAGTGCTGAACAGCAGCCCAATCAAAACTTTGTCCTTTTACTGTGAGAGCATCGTGCAGCAGGTGCAACTGTTAGGCACACTCAAACGTTGGCCCAGAAGTTTGTATGTTATTTATGGGACAAATGCAAACGTATCACAAGTATTACTATAATATATGTTAGTAAATTTAACAATGACAATAAATATTCTGATTCTAACTGATTTAGTGTGATTTCAAGTGGAAATGTTCCGCAGTTTTGTGACAGTGTCAGATTTACTGTTCCTGGTCTGAGTTACTCTCGTCTGATCTGCCTGAGTTCTGGAAGTTGGAAGTTTCTGGTCTTTGTTCCAGCAGATCCTGCGTCTGATCTGGGACAGGTAGAACATGGGTGCGATGAACAGGCCAAAGTTGGGAAACAACAGCAACAGCTGAAGGATAAAGCACTGGGAGCGACTGGTGTCCCCGCCCTCTGTGAGGATCACCACCAAGAGCGGGACCAGACCCACCACAGGGGAGTACGCCACCACCGACTGCACCAGGACGGCGGAGATGTTTCTCAGAGCTTTTCTCTGAGGAACGCTGGTCCCTGAGCTGTCTCCTGGACCGCTACGACGCAAAACCCCCACAATCCCTAGCAGACACAGCAGCATGGTAAGGAACAGCAGGGAGATGGTGATGGACTGGTACAGGGCCCTGACAAAGACCGCGCAAAAGAACCCCAGCAGGGCCACAGCCAAGGTCAGGACCCAGGCGCAGGCGCACAGAGCCAGCCTGTAACCTCGCCTCCCCAAGCGCTGGTAGACGAAAGGCCATGCCACGGCCAGGTAACGCTCCAAACACATGCAGGTGAGCAGCAGCGGGCAGCCGAAGATGTTAAGGACAAACAGGGACTCTTTGACAGCGTAGATGCCTCTGGAGGTTCTGTGCAGTGCGGTGTAAATGTCCAGAGGCAGACTGAGACAGAACAGGACGTCCACGATGGAGACGTTCAGACCCAGCAGCTCAGACGGCGTCATGGAGCTCCGCCTCCTTGCTAACATCCACATCAGACCTGAGTTCGCCGGAAGCACCGTCAGCAGGATGAAGATCTTAAAGGTTATCCATCCCACCACCCCGACCCGGATGTGACAGGAAGTCAGAACTCCAGAGAGGTCCGGGTCAAACAGAGAGAAGGAGGGAGCACCGTCATCTGGACCAGAACTGAGGCTGATGTTGGCGTCACTGTGGCTCCAGGTGCTGTTCATCATCATCATCCTCATCAACAGGCTGCTGGAGCAAAGAGGAAGATTTTATGTTAATTATCCAGACTTCTTTTTACCATAAAATAATCAAGATTCAGATTCCTGAAGAATGTTTGCTCCAAAGTTTTATTTTTACAAAGTAATTACAGATACAAATATTCAGTCAGCCCTCAAACATTAAATCAAACTCTGAGGAAATAAAATTTTATTTCTGCATTAAATTCTGTGATCAGTGTTTAAAAGAGATCTGTGCAGGGGCGGGGCTATATTTGGGAGGGGTTTAATTACGGGCGTGGCATGTCATAGATCCACCCACTTTTGGCTCAGCATGCCCTTTTAAAAAGTTTTTCTTTTTTAGCTCTTATTTAAAAATAAATAAAGAAAAAATTATTTAGGTTCTGATTTGATAACCTTATAATAACTGTTTCTTTGTTTAATACAGATTTAATGTCTTATACGGCAGCTGTGTCTGAAGCCGGTGCTGTTGGTCCGATAAGATTTGCTTGTTTGTAAGGACTGTTGAAGTTTGTCCCTCCAGAGGTTCCCAGAGTTTGGTTCAGGACTGGATCATCAATTTAAAAATCCCTTTTGATTTGTTACGGGCTCTTCTAACCCTGGAAAATCTGCAGAAAGTTCCTCTGAGTGCTGCTGAGACAGAAAGTCCCTCTTTTTATTTACGGAGATTATAACTAATTACTTTTTAAATAACCTATTTATCCAACATTATTTATAATTAGTTGTTTTTTAAATTGTTTATTAAACAACATTTGCTGAAAGTCTTATGACGACATCTAAAGAAATGATGTAGTTTTAGTGACAAGCTTCAAATTTTCACACTGTTCAGAGTAAATTTATGAATATTAATACAGTAATCTGTAATTTTAGAATTTAAAAGTCTTTAATTTGTTTACATCAAGAAACATGATCTTAAAACATTTGTAAGTGATTCTAACTGAACTTGTTTTGAATTGAACTTTGCGACGTTTTTATAGTTTCCGCTGCAGAAACTAAACAGTTTGTTGTGGAAAACAGGAAGTGAAGTAAATATTGTTCCAGTTTCCATTTATTTACAGGCTCTGTTCAGTTTGGGGGCTCAGACACTTTCAGTGACCTGGAACTCAGTTCTGGTTCTGGTTCTGCTGATAAGACAGGAGAAGCTGCTTTGGCATCCTTCAGCATTTTTGCAGAAATCTGTTGGTTTACAGTAAGTTCCAGTTTTTATTGAATTAAATAATGAAAAAGATCAACCAAATTCATCATGAGACCATTCTTAATTTAAAAATCCAAAAATTAGATATTGTACATCACATTTTAAAATCTGCCTTTAAATGTTAAATTAAACAAAACTGTTATTTCCAGAGAAATCTAAGAGCAGCGACCCAAATATTCAGGTCAAACGATTTCAGCACAGAACTAATTCATCTTCAAACTGATCATTCTGATCAGATTTATTGATCAGATTGTTTCAGAGGATTAAATCAGGACTTAAAGACTGCAGGACGGACTCACCTGTGGAAAGACGTCCCTTTCTGTCCCACCTGAGGACGCAGTCATGCAGCTCTTGCATGATGTTTGCATTTAAAGGAGGTTTGTCCACCTGTCCGTCCCCCTGCAGGTCTTCAGGATTGTTTCTGGAACATTTAGCATCATGCAAACATCGGGTGTTTCTCATCCCGTGTTCGCCTGCAGTTCCTGTTGTTGCAGATTTCTAAACATTTAGAAAACAACAGCAATAAATGTCAACAATAACATGTTTAGAACAAAACAAAAAAAAGAAAAAATAGTAATAAAAGCTGGAGTTCTGCTCATCCAGAGGTAACAGCAGGATCACCTGAACAGGTGGGCCCAGACTGCACATTTGAATGGAACAGATGGGTTCTTCTGTTAAACGATGCGTTCACTGACATGCAGAGCAGCAGAAACAACAGATTTGTTTTGTTGCACTTCATGTGGATCCTGCTCATGTTCTGGTTCTCTGAGGTCAGGAAAGTTTCAGAGTGAAAAAACTGAACCCGATAGATGTTACTGATTAAAGGGATCACAGGTTTTGCTGCTTTTATCAAAACCAGCAGAACAGAGGGAGAGGAGCATCTGATACAAATAAGATCCTGGAGAACACTAACCATGGCAGCACATTATCAACAGAGGCCGGGTTCAACCAGACCAGACCCAAGATCAGATGTCCCGGAGACAGTCCAGCACACAACAGCAGGTAGAAGATCCTGGCAGGGAAAGCAAACATGGAACAACATCACCAGGAGGCCGAAACAGTTCAAGAACATCTGGAACAGTAAACAGGAACATCTGGAACAGCACATGGGAACATCTGGAACAGTACACATTATCATCTGGATTAGTGTGCATGAACATTTGGAGCAGTGAACAGGAATATTTGGAACAGTGGCACAGGAACCTCCATAACAGTGTACAGAAACATCTGGAACAGTGAACAGGAACATCTGAAACAGTGCACAGAAACATCTGGATTAATGCACAGGAAGTTTTGGAACAGTGCACAGGAACATCTGGTACAGCACACAGGAACATCTCGAACAGTAGGCAGAAACATCTTCTGGAACAGTGCACAGGAACATCTGGACCAGTGAACAGGAACATCTGGAACAGTAGGCAGAAACATCTTCTGGAACAGTGAACAGGAACATCTGGACCAGTCTCAGAACTCCTCTTGCATAAATAATATTTTTTGTTTTGCTGTTTCCTCAAATTGTTCATTTTCTTTTTATTTAATTTTATTTTTATTCATAATTTCTTCTTAGTTTTATCATGTCAAATGTGAACTTGTTTTTTGTTGTTGTTGTTGTTGTTGTTGTTGTATGCCTCCCTTGTTATATTGTGTTCTGTTTTTTTTTTTTTTCCTTAAATTTTCAATTAAGACAAAAAAAGAAAAACCGGTGAAGAGTTGTTTGACCATCAGGGGGCGATAGTGCTTATTTGGGGGACACCCTGTTCTGGCGGGTGATATGCAGTTCCGCTGTCAGTTTGTCAAGAAAAAATAAAATAAAATAAAATAAATGGCTGCCACAGTGGGCTCGGTGGGGCTGTTCAACAACGAGCTGCAATCCTGGGAAGAATATTGTGAGATTTTAGATTATTTCTTCATCGCAAGCGACACTGAGGAAGCGGAAAAGAAACGAGCGCTGTTGCTGAGCTGCGCATGCGCGCAGACCTACGCCTTGACGAGGAACCTGCTCAGTCCTGCGCAGCCGAAGGACAGATCCTACGTGGAGTTGGTAGAGTTGTTGAACAATCATTTTCACCCTAAACCAAATGAAATAGTACAGCGGTGGGAGTTTAACACAAGGAATAGAAAGCCAGAAGAAAAAGTCTGTGATCACGTGGCGGAGCTGAGGAAGCTCGCGCAAAGTAATGTTGGTTAATTTTGGGGACTCCCTGACGGTGATGCTGAGGGATGTTTAGTGTGTGGAATAAATGACGACTGGATACAGCGCAGATTGTTAGCAGAACATGGACTAACGTTTGAAAAGTTTGAAGTTTGCTCAGGCCATGGAGGCGGCCGGCAGAGACATTATTGATGAGGGGGGGGGGGGGGGGGGTTCCCAGGAACCGGCCAAGGACAAACCCAAAAAAGTCCTGAAATGATGACAGAATGTTTATTCAGCTGGGCCCCTCTGAAAAGTCCATGGAAATTCCTCAGTAGGAGGGGAGGGAGGGACAGAGCTTCAGTTTTACAAAACTTGAAAATTAGACACAGGTTGTTGCTACTACCCAGATAGCAAACAGACTCCGGAACGGATCCTCAAAACAGACCCAGATCGGAGTCCACTTGCACACCAGAACGGATCCAGAACAGATAAGGATCACAGATCCAGATTGGATCTGGCCCGGACCCTATCCAGATCCACTCATTAAGTGCCACATCCGGCCCGGATCCGTTTTGGATCTGTTCACAGAACACATCATCCGGCCCAGATCCGTTTTCAATCATTAATCAGTGTGTATGTATTGTCATCATTGAATGTTTCCATACAATGGTGAAATTGGCTCTCTGCATTTAACCCATCCACCACCAGGCGGAGCAGTGGGCAGCTGTTGAAGGCGCCCGGGGAGCAACAGGGGATGAGGTGTACTGCTTAGAGACACCACGAGGTGTGCAATGACTGGGGATCGAACCCAGGACCTTCGGGTCCTGAGTCGGCTGCCCTGCCCCTACACGATCGTTTTGGACCCATTCATAGAACACATCATCTGGCTCGGATCATCCAGCCTGCATCTGGTTTTGACCAGTTTATGATACTCTTATTGGAGGTGGACTCAATTGGGTCCATCCATCCATCCATTATCTTTTACCCACTTCTTCCATTTTGGGTCACAGGGGTCACCGGTGCGAATGCCCAGCAATCACTGTGCGAGGGGCGGGGTACAACCTGGACAGGTCTCCAGTCCATCACAGGGCCACACACACCCAGAGACAATTTAGCGTTACCAATCAGCCTAACATGCATGTTTTTGGTCTGTGAGAGGAAACTGGAGCACCTGGAGAAAACCCACGCATGCACAGGAGAGAACATGTAAGCTCCACCCAGAGAGGCCCCCGGACCGGGATTTGAACCGGGAACCTGCTCGCTGAGAGGCAGCAGCTCTACCAGTTGCGCCACCGTGCCGCCCTCATTTGGTTCAAAACCTTTATTTATCATGGAGCTTACCAGCTAGAAATGGACATGATTTATTAAGTTATTTATTAAGTTTTTCAAAATTTAAATTTCATTAAGTGCTACTTGTACATTTTGATTCCAGTTTAATTAAAATTGTTCTTCAACTCAACTCAATATATTTTACTAATCACCATTTACAGTTTTTAGATATATAAACTCAAAATTTTCATTTATCAAGACTTTGAAGTTTTCACTTTTTTAACCCAGGAAAAGTTAGTTAACAAAACTCAAAGATTTAAGTACAAGACAAGATATTTTTAAGTTTACAAAACTCCGTTTTTATTAGTTTGTTGTCACTGATTTAAGTACAGAATACTCAAAAATGTTGACTTTGTAATCAAAGCACATGAATTTAAACTTAAACAAATTTGAGGCAGTTGATACGTGGAGTAGAACAAACGTAAAATGACCAAGTTATGAACCTGTTCTACATAACAGCTTTTTCTTGGCTTATTTAAAGTTTAAAAAATGCAAAATAAATATTGGAAAGGAGAAAAAGTACACGCTAAAACATTTAAAGAAAACAGTATAAAAATAACTGTACATTTACATAAAATGAAAATGTACAGCTGCACCAATTTAGTGAATAGTTGCCAATTGTTAAGCACCTATTTTAATTGTTTTGAGACATTATTTCAGATGAAAGCATCATATGTTCAGATTCTAGTGTCTCAAATGTGAACAGTTTCTGGTTTTATTTAAGAAAAAGTAAATACTGCAGCAACTAATCAATTAATGCAGAAAATAAACTAATAAATAATTATATCACAAAGTAAATAATAAAATCTAATTAAAAAATAGATTTTGCACTAATCAAATGCCAAATTAATGAGTACTTTCTGCGTTTGACTAATACCCGAGTAGTGCAAGAGATCAACAACTTGAATCAAATGACAGTATTTTAACTGTTTAACAACATTTGACATTGAATACTAGAATATGAATGTGTTACATTAACCATAAAACCAGTTCAGATCATTCTTGAGTGTGTAACCTGGGCACCATCTTCTAGACCAGCTAAAATCTTCTGAATAAATTCAAGTGTTGGTAAGTGCTTATACCTGAGCCTAAACAGCAGGAAGGCATCCGCAAATTTGGGACAGCTGACAATGATGTCACTTTCAATGACCACGTCAACTTTCACAGGTTGGTAGTGAACTGGATTTGTGTCGTGGTCACTGGTGACGGTAACAAGGGCCACTGCAACATCTCCATCAGCTCTGGCTCATCTGGCTTATCCTAAAATGAACGAGAGAGATGATCAGAATCTATTCTATACCAGTTTCACCATATTCTTTTATGTCATTTTCTAATAAAGGTTGGTTTATTTATTGATAGATCATCTTTCACAATTAATTAAATACTGGTGGTAAGAAATAATTGTGAATTGATAATATTTTAGCCAAAACCATGTTTTATATAGAACAAACTGATTTTGTTTTATTTAGCCGGGTTAGCCCTAGGTCTCTATAAGAAGTGTGTTCTGTACATTACCAGAGAATCTGAGTGACAGGAGAGAGACTGAGGCTAAACTTAAGAACATACTGGTCATAAAATTAGAACATCATGGAAAAAGTTGATTTATTTCAGTAATTTTATTCAAAAAGTTAAACTTGTATATTATATTCATTCATTCCCCGAAATCTCTACTTTGAGAGAATGAGGGCTGTGACTGGCTGCCGTGTATGTCAATCAAATAACAAATTTCATAGTGAGGATGGATGATAGGCTGACGTTCTTTTTAATTTATTTTTATATGCCATGCGATCTACCCATAATACCTTTGCGATCGACTGGTAGATTTCGATCGATATATTGGGCACCCCCAGTCTAGCTAAATGTTAACTGTGATAAAAGGCTAGATATTTGTATTTGGGGTGGGGGCATTGAAGGAAATGGAGCGCTGTCATTGTGTTATAATTTCAGGACTCTTGGATTCCTTTAGGCGTTGTCCTTGGCCGTTCCCCGACATCCCTCGAGAATGTTTACGGATCTCACCAGAGGGAACTGGTTGATTATTCCATCCTTATCAGAACTCCTAGTGCCCTCGAGAGCATCCTTGGACATGCTCACCGCTCTCGTCGTCTCTCCCCCTCTGCGGAATGTCTACGTCACCATGTGCTTGTATGTGTGAGGTGTTTTTTTAATATTAGGGTCTTCCTTCTCAGCCAAGAAGAAAGAGTTTGATAGGAATTTTTTTTTGTGCCTCCAGTTCCTACATGTGTCCAGTTTCACTACTTTTTGTCTGTCTAATCAGATCTCACTTGTAAATGAGTCTTCTAGGCTCATTGTGATTTATCTGTCCGAATAAAGGTTGACTTGAATTGAATCTCCGTAGATTTTTAGCTAGTGCATCAGTATTGCGCGCAGCTAGCTTAGTGCTACGTCAGTGCCGGAAGTTGTCGGTGGGGGTGGGGGGGTCGACAGGGCGCTCTCCTTGAATAAAGGGAAGGGAAACACTGGACTATGTGCTCAGAGTTCAGTAGAGTTCTGGATCAGGAGTTCTGGGTCAGATCTGGGTTCACCCTCTGCGGTCAGTTTAGTTTAGATCGACATCAGTGTTCTTTGGTCCCCATGAGCAGAAAACTCTCTGAGAACCCATGGAACTGCAGGAAACCTGAATTTTACTCAGCTCCACTTCTGCAGGTAAACATGGAGAGTCCACAGGAAGCCAGCGAGGTCCTCCAGCTGCTGGAGGACTACTGTACCAGGAGGTCTAGGTGGAGGTCGGCAGGCGCCTCACAATGGAGAACACTGAGGAGGTCACGGATGCCTGAGGAGCAGAACATCTCCAGCCTGCCTGATGTCCCACCACTCCATTCAATGATGATGATCAAAGGTGAGAAACGTTCTGCAGAATTGTGATGGTTCTCCTGAATATGATAGAATTGAACATCTGGAGGCCCAGATGTTTGAGTGTTCAGTCTGTAACAAGGGTTCTGAATGGTCCACAGTACCTGTACAGCATCCAAAACCGGCTCAGCGCAGGGTGACGGAGCGGCTGGTGGAGATCACCGAGTCGGCGCCGATCAGGAAGGACGAGGTGCAAACACAAGAAGGTGAGACACGATCATGAAGTTACAGGTTAGGACCTTCAAAAGATAATTCATTTAGTTGACCAATGACTCTGAAAATGCTTTAGATCGTGTAATTATTTTAGATGGACCAGCAGATTGGTTCTGCTAGATCCTTCCAAATGGCAGACTGGTTCCGGATGATCCACAGATTGTCAGATAGTTTCTGGAAGGTCTTCAGATCAGCAGATTGGTTCAGAAGATGTTTCTGACCACTGGATTAATTTGGGGAAATCTTCTGATCACCGTAGTGGTTCAGAAAGTTCCTCACAGAGGTCGACATGTGCCGTTCCTGTTTGTCTGAGAAGATCTGTTTTGGTCTCAGACAACCAGATCTCGCCTCGAGGATGTCCGCTGGACAACCAAGTGAAACAGACATGGATTAACGTTCTCCGTCGCTGTGATGGTTTTCTACCATTTTTAACATCTGTATAAATGCGGGGGGGGGGGGGGTGTTCCCGTCTTTTTAAATCCATCCAATATATTTATGATACTGACCCAATCAGAGCAGGGCGGGCCATGCCGTCTGAAACATGGCAGCTGACTGCAGTGTTCCCAACTTAGAGATAGATTAAAGGTGAGAGCACCAATCAGTGTCTCCTGGACTATTTTCCAAGGTGGAAACCACTCTACTCTAACTGAAGGTGTAGACGTAATAATTATTAAACGTGTTTGCACGTGACCGATTGACTGCAGCCGGGGAGAAACCAGAACTGATACACCATCACCCCCTCCTCCTGCACCACGCCCCGACTCCCCGGACATTTGTATCTAAAGTATAACTATGTATTAAACATCAAAGTTCATGTTCAGTGTATTTATGTATTAAACATTAATGTGTTTGGAGCGTTGTCCTCGTACAGACGTGTGCAACCTGCGCACATGACCAAACATCTGGTCAGAGGGAGCGTGCTCAGCCCGAGTGTCTCACGGTGAGAGAAGAGGCTGTTTCTGCTGTTTTAGTTCTTATAATTAAACAATATTAACACAAAAGACAAATATTTATATGCCCCAGATTATAGCAGAGATGTTTGTCTCTGTTTATCTTTAATTTTTTTCCCTCATATTCACAAAGTCCTCTCTGAAAATCAGTTTCAGGTGTTTGTAGTTCATCATAGATATCTAAATTAATTAATTTCTACACGGTGTTTTAACAACAACATGGTGCTGTGGCTGTCTGGATGAGCTAAAC